TAGTAGTTGTTGTTGTTGTTGTTGCACTAGCTAAGACTTTTCTGGAGATGGTTTTGCTGTTCTTCGGGAAGGCATACAGATTTCGTGCTCATACCCAATTTCGTGCCAAAACGTGTGCTCTCGCATGCATCCACAGATCTGTTCCACGCACGGCGTGCCTGAATCAAGTTTCATATGCGAACAAGTGGCCCCATCAAAGGCACAACCACTTGCACAATGGACGGACACACCACATGGAGCTTTTTTGAACAAGCCGTCTGCCCCTGCAGCTTGTTGCAACTGTGATCTGCAAGGCTCTGTACAAGAACTTTTGTCACTTCGTGATGACTCCGACAGCTTCTAGTCTGTCTGCAACCTTCTCCAAACGCGAGACGAGCTTGTTGAAAGCTGACAAGTCAACGAACTTCTTGTTTCCCGGCTTAATCCCATGTCGCTCTTGCCCTTGTGCTTCCAGCGACCGCTCTCGAACAGCCGCCTCCCCAGGGGCAAAAGCGAATCAAAGCCAACCAGGACCCCATCACAAGCTTCATTCCTTGCCCTAAAGCCTTACGATAACCCAACACCGACTCCGAACTGAACAGTTAGCTGACAATAAGAAAGGCGCGAAAGCTCGGTGTTTGTTTCTTGCCTGTGCCGCTTCATCACTCAGAACAACGGAGAGCTTGCGGTGCTTGAAGTCACTCCGAATAATCTTCGTGCAGAGGGGGCATGCTCGGCCACGTTGATCTTTACGTCTCTCGGCTTTGCAGATAACGCAATGCGGCGTGATGTCTGTCGCCCCTCCAAACCCTTCCGGCCGCACGAAAGGCGCTGACTCAGAAGAACCGTCTGAAGCCTTGGACGTCTTGCTGGAGCTCACCGGGGTCCTGCGGTCATGCAGAACTACATTTACCTTTACTTCACCATACTTGGAATGCTTATATTTGTTCTGGGAAACAATCAAAAAGTGACATGTAAGTAGGTTGCCGCATTAGGCCCCACCTTGGAGCGCTTTTTCTGGAGTGACTGGAGTAACTGGCTTCTGTGTCTTCGGGCTTGACTTTGTAGGGCTTCTGGCGGAAACTGCGAGGTCACAGCTTGGCGAAGCTTCCGCTGCTTCCTCGGGCTGCTGCGCGGATTTCGGGCTTGACTTCGTAGGGCTTTTGGTCGAAACTGCGAGGCCACTGCTGGAGGAAGCTTCCGCTGCTTCCTTCGGCTGCTGCGCGGACTTCAACAAAGCAAGGGTGGGATCCGAGACAATCGGCTCCGCCTTACGTTTGGTCACCAACTGGTCAAGGGTTGCATCCGAGACAATCAGCTCCGCCTTGCGTTTGCAGGGAGGCTTGTTTTCGGTCTTCTCATGTTCCACAGGCTGCGTTCCCTGAGATGGTTCTGGTTCTGGCATCTTCACCTGAGCTGAAGCCGCCACAGATGCTGATACGGTTTAGGGTTTCGGGTTTAAGGCTTACGGTGGAGCAGTGTGATAAGAAAACTTCTTTAATAAGAAATTAGAGTCTCGATGCTCGTCAGATTTAGAAATCCAGGGTCTCGCGCCGGCGTAAGAACTTTTTTGAAAAGAAATTGCTCTTAAGCAGGATTCGATGCTCTTGCGCTGCATTTAAGCAGATAGGACGATTTTGGGGTTTGGGCAGG